GATCCCGAGGTCAAAGCCAGTCTCAGCAAAAGTGAGGCACTGAGCAACTCAGTGAGACCCTGTCTCTAAATAAAATATGAAATAGGGCTGGAAATGTGGCTCAGTGTTCAAGTTCCACTTAGTTCAATCGCTGGTACCCCCTTCCCAAATTAACGAGGTTATGAATTAATTTGTCTAGTTAGCTTTTGTTTATTTGGGGCTCAGAGTTTCAGAGGTCTCAGTCCATAGATGGCTGACTCCATTGCTCTGGGCCCAAGGTGAGGCAGCCCATCATGGGGGAAGGGTGTGGAGAAGGAAATCTGCTCAGGGAATGGTGGGGTCAGGAAGTAGAGGAAAGAGGGGAGAAAGCAGGGGAAGGGACTGCAGGGCTGATGTACCCTTCCAGGACATGCAACCAGTGACCCACCTCCTGCAGCCATACCCCACCTTCCTACAATTACCCACTCAAGCTAGGACATGTTGATTAGCTCACAGCTTTCATAACTGCATCATTTCACCTCTGAATATTCCTGCATCAACAGGAGATTTTGAGGGATGGTTCATATCCAAACCATAACATATGCTGTTCTTCTGGGGGGTTATTTCAGTATCATTAAGCCCACCCCTCCTTTTTTGGTACAGGGGATTGAACCCAGGGTTTCTATACCACTGAGTCACATCCTCAGTCCTTTTGAAGATTTCTTTATTCTATTTCTTTATTTATTTTGAGTCAAGTTTGTACTAAGTTGCTTAGGACCTTGCTAAGTTGCTGAGCCTGGCTTCAGCCTGGCTTCGGATTTGCGATCCTCCTGCCTCATTTACCAAGTTGCTGAGATTACAGGCATGTGCCACCATGCCTGGCATAAAGAAAGAAACAAAACCAAAAACATAAAAGCAACTTTTGACACAAAACACTTATTAGTAATAAGTGGTCTTTTATGCCACTTATTATGGTCTTTTATGAGGACAATAGCTATTTATTTTAAAATATTTTTTAGTTGTAGACAAACACGATACCTTTATTTTATTTATTTTTATGTGGTGCTGAGGATTGAACCCAGAGCCTCAAATGTCCTAGACAAGCACTCTGCCACTGAGCCATGCCCCCAGTCCAACAATAGCTATTTTAACTTTGAAACTTGATTGACTTATTTTATGTCACCACCCCCACCCCATTTTGCTTTTCTTTAGTCTGATCTGTTTCTCCCATTCTCTCATCTGTTCCTTCACATCTGTTTAGGGCATCTGGGTTTGGACACATGTTTGATCCCCATTCTTCATTGTAGCAAAGACTTCAATTTTCTTGCAGGAAGAGCTTGCGGGAAATCAAATAAGGTCTTTTTAGGATTCTGGGTGGCTTGTCCTTTGGCTGTGGTTGATACAGGAGTAGCCTGCCTCATTTTGGGGGAGTCTTACATATCCAGGCAAGCATCATTGCCCTGGGAATATCTTCCTGATCCCCAGATGTGGCGCTGGCTTCAGGCTATCTGGCATCCTGGGGGCCACAGACCCAAGCTGATTCTCTTACTGAGTTTTGTCCTATAGGCAGAGGCTTCAAGCGCATATTATTTCATTCTAATTGTTTTCCATGTATCACAAGGGATGAGGCAACAATTAGTCCCTGCTGGATACAGACCCCCCTTAATCTTAAGACTTCCTGGACTCAAGAACTATAAGAAGTACATCTTGCCAGTTGTAGTGGTGCGGCTCAGGAGGCTGAGACA